CAGGTCTGTGCTTTAATCCACCACATCCTAGCTTCAGCTGAGTCTGATTTGTGAACTGACAGTGTTTTTAAATGAGGTGATCCAGATGCTGAGATGCAAACACGAAAGCCGTAGAAAGATAAAGAAATAATCTCTTTCTTTCAACAATTGTTTGAGATCAGCTGTGTGTCACCAAAGGGTTGAAATCAGTCTCTGGTACTTTCCTCCTTTTGAAACCGGTCCTATCAGGGTTTCCACCTGATGGTAAGAAAACTGAAGGATTTTCAAAAGCTGTGACCTTACTCTCGCTCTTTAAAATGAAGAATACAGTTTTAAAAAGTCCTTTCTCTTATTCGTGGAGCATAACACACACAAGACAACACTATTCCTGGGAACGTGACCCATCACATAACAGCAGTGTTGGTGTCCCCGTGAGGCGGCTTCTTTCTCCTCCTTCCCTCCTTCCTAGCCCTCTCTCCTTGAGCTCCCCCCGCCCATCATAGCCTTCAAAATCCTTCTCTTTGGTGAGAAATATTTTTTCTTGCCCTCCGCCCCCCCCCTTTTTTTTTTTAACATTTTATTAGGGGCTCATACAACTTATCACAATCCATACACACATCAATTGTGTAAAGCGCATTTGTACATCATTTCTCAAAACATTTTCTCTCCATTTAAACCCCCGACATTAGGTCCTCATTTTCCTCCTCCCTCCCCGCTCCCCCCTCCCGCATGAGCCCTTGATAGTTTATAACTTGTTATTTTGTCATATCTTGCCCTGTCCGATGTCTCCCTTCACCCACTTTTCGGTTGTCTGTCCCCCAGGGAGGAGGTTACATATACTTCCTTGTAATCAGTTCCCTCTTTCCTACCCATTCTCCCTTTACCCTCCCTGTTTCGCCACTCACACCACTGGTCCTGTAGGGCTCATCCGCCCTGGATTCCCTGTATTTTCAGTTCCTATCTGTACCAGTGTACATCCTCTGGTCTAGGCAGACTTGCAAGGTCGAATTCGAGTCATGATAGTGGGAGCGGGGAGGAAACATTTAGGAACTAGAGAAAAGTTGTATTTCTCATCATTGTTACATCGCACCCTGACTGGTTCATCTCCTCCCCGAGACCCCTCTGCAAGGGGATCTCCAGTGGCCTACTCATGTTGCCCTCCCCTTTTATAGCAATGGTGTCATCCTTATGAAAACTTCGCTGCACACCATGTCTTTCAGTTTTGTCAGTGTCATGAGGTGTTTGACGGTCTCATCGTTGTCTCTCAGAGAAGCATGCTATTCCAGTGTGTCTGTGCCAGACTGTCTCGACTTGATGTAACCAACGCTCCTCAGACAGGGCTTCTGGCTGTTTCCCTCTTTTTGCTGCTCTTGAAACTGCTGTGATAAACATGCGTGTGCATATATCTGTTCAGATTTTAGTCTTTATTTCTGTCGGGTACATTCTAAGTAGAAAGATCTCAGGTATTTTGATTCACATTTGACTAGCGAATCACCGTACTGTTTCCTGGTAAATACATAATCTCGTTCTTGCCCTTGGCCATCCACTTCATTTTAACTTACCGACACAGATACCAGGTACAGTTTCTTTAGTTCTTGGGCCTATCCTCAGAGGGTCTTTACACATACATAAGCAACTACGACTGTACACATCATCTTACTTCTCCTTTTGTATAAATAGGATACGTACCCTCTACATCCTTTTGTGACTGGATGGTATAAAACCATCATTATCCCAGTTGCATCACTCTCTGCCAGTCAGTCGATGCCCAGTCACCAGGACCCTATTGGACAGAGTTGAGCTGCCCCTTTCGGTTTCCAAGGCTGCCAGTCTTTGTGGGAGCAGAGAGCCTCGTCTGTCTCCCTCGGGGCAGCCAGTAGGTAGGTCTGAACAACTGATTTTGCAATTAGCAGCCCAACCAACGCCTAATCCACCATGATACCAGCACTTCCAATTGTATTAGGAAAAGCACAGTCCATGTACCTATAGCAGCACATGGAGACCGTGCTTATCCTTTATGTTTATGTTGCTGCGTAGGGTTTCATCTAGAAATGAGCCATAATTTACTTGGCCAGTCTTCAACTGATGGAGGGTAGATTGTTGGAAGCCTTTTGTTTTTGTTCTGATCAACGATGCTGTAGGGAGAATGTTGTGCCCGCCTCATTTTGGACATGTGCACATGTATCTGTAGAGTACACTTCCAGAAGGGTAATTGTTGGGTCAGGATTTTATGCATTTTAAATTTTGGTATGAATCACACACACTTTTCTATATACTGAAAACAAAACCGAATCTCACGAAGTTGATTCTGACTCATGGAGACCCTCTATCGGGTTTCTGAGTCTATGAATCTTTACTGGAGCAGACAGACTTACCTTTCTCCTGTGAACGTCTGGTAGGTTTGAACCTCCTGTGAAGCAGCTGGGAGGTTTGAACCACCCACAGTGTCACTAGGGATAGATATATTTAATTGGCTCAACCAAAGCAGTGTATATATATGTTTATTTCTATATACATAAACATGTATGTATGTATATGCATGTATGCACACACATATATTTATAATTGCTAGCCAAAGCAATGTGTGTGTATACGACATGTATGTGTGTGTACACACACATGAAGGGGTACCAAAAACAAAAACCAGATTTTGTTTTACAAAACAAACTCCATTACACTTAATACATTTGCGAAATCTGTGGTTCCATTCTTGCAAGCGTTTACAAACTCATTTGTTTGGATGGCTGACAGCACCTCCCTCATTTTTTCTTCACCTCTGCTCTGTTGTTAAATCCTGGCAGGTCAATCTTCCTTCCTGGAAACGAAAAGAAGTCCCATGGAGTGAGGTCAAGTGGGTCAGGGGTGTGGGGCAAGAGAAGCATGCCGGTTTTTTGTCCAAACTGGCACAGTGAAATGGCTGTGTGAGCAGGTGCATTGCCATGGTGGCAAAACCAGCCCATCAGCCACAAATCAGGCCCTTTGTGTGGCACACTGTTACGCAATGTTTTCAGAACCTCTAACTGGAAAGCTTGATTAGCAGTCTGACCTGGTGGAACAAACGCCAAATGCACTACGAGTCGATATTTTCGTCCATTCAGGAAATCGATGGACATCCAGAATGAGGTCTGTCACCAATAGACATTACACTCTTTTTGAAATGAGAAAACCAATCTTATACTTGAGTTTTTCCCATAGTGCTGTCCTTGTAAACTGTGTTCAACATCACAACAATTTCTGTGGCATTTTTCCTGAGCAGGAAACAAAATTTCACATCCACATGCTGTTCTCTTAAATTGGCCCATCAGAACAAACGAGGTTCCAGTGAAACTACTTTTACGAAAAAATTCACTGTGACCAGAGAGAACCTTCTGAGGTGACGCCACTGGGTGCACTAACTTAGAGCGAATTGCTGGATGCTTGCCTGGTGGGAAAAATGCGTGTGAAAAATACAGTACTACAAAAGCTTCACCCAGCACAACTCCAAGTTTTTTTGGGGTACCTGTGGGCTTGATTTCCCTGTCTACCTACAGGATAAGTGATCAAACTTTCAGGTGTTTGTCTGGTTAATTTTTACTTTCAATTATTTCATTTTTATTTGTGAACTATTTCATTTGTTTGTAAATTTCACCATCACGCTTTAAAAAATTCTGTAAAACATTCAAACAGACATGATTTTGCTTTCATGAGGCTTCTGCCTGTTTTGCTAATTCAGACCAGTTTATGTTATGTTTGGCTTGGCATATCCCGATACGTGCAGGTGGTCTAAATTTAAACCCCAAATACATGGGAAAATAGGCCAATCGTTAGGAAGTTTTAGGATTTTGTCCCATCATTCAGATTTAAGGCTGAGAAAATAAGTTTTTGTTTCTCAATGTACTTTCTCATGAAATAGATTCTTCCGTTAGCCCCTGGTCGGCAACCTGCGGCTCTGGAGCCAAATGCGGCTCTCAAGGTTGTCCAGGTGGCTCTGAAGTTGACTTGAAAGTGAAAATAAAACCATTCTAGTTTCACTTATAATATTACTTGAAATACTCCTTATTTGTAAGGGTATATTTGTGGCTCCTGAATCAGTTTTCAATGGTCGTGAGGGACAGGATCACTTTTCCATCTCAAAGGTTTGCTGACCCCTGCTCCTCTAGTCTACTCCTTTTTTTAAAGGCAGTAATCAGAGATCATTTATTTTCTAAATTAAATAGTTTAAGCTAAATCTTTCTATTCACAAGATATGACTCAACCTTAGAGGCTCTATCTATTATGACGTTGAATCCAAGAATCTTAGTACTTAAAAATAAACACATACTTATAGATAAAGGACCCCAAATGTAAATATTAAAATTTCATCTGGTTTTCAAAACTTAAAACGTGAATATATAGTGACTCAACAGAGCTGACTGCCTATTTCTTAATGTATTCTAAGCTAGCCCTTTGAGCTTTTATCTAGGATTCGTATAGGACGGTCTGGGCTTCAGTCTCCCTCCTGCTCCCCAGAAGGCCCCTGTCCTGTACCTCCCATGGTCCTGGCATCCACCCTGCAGCCCCTGGACAGCACACGCCTTGGCGGCTCTAGCTGCTTTCCCCGCTCGTTCTTGCTGCGTTCCCTGTGCTGCTTGAGCTTGCTTTGCATTGTTTTGCAGTTCCAACGAGGTGTTTTGATATATGTTACCGCATTTCATCCATGGGTGTTTTGTAGCCGGGGAGATTTTAAGGTTCACTGCGTGGTTTCCTGGTTACATCTTGGGCTGCTTACCACAAGGTCAGTGGTTCAGAACCACAGCTGCTCCTGCGGAGAAAGATGGCACTTTCTCATACAGAGGGCAGCTCTAACCTGTCCTCTGAAGTGTCTGAGCCAGAAGTGGCTTCATGGCCCAGACACTTTGGTTAATTCTGTGCTAGCTGATACCTATTCTTTCTTTCAGTAAATGCGTATCTGCTATGTGCTGGAACACCCTAGTCTACTCTTTCCAATTTATGCCAAAAGACTTTGATAGCTATAGCAACCACCGTTGATTTGACCCGATCAGATGGAGCGGCGGCAACTTCTCGTGCTGACAAAGAACCCTGAGTGCACGGTGAAGGATGACTATGAACAGGTTTCAGGTGGTTTCAAATCCATTCAGACAATACCTTAGGGAGACTGGCTCAACCCAAGCAGCATTAAGGGGGCATTTGTAAACTCTGTAGTTTGAGGTTCGCCACACTATATTCATCACCATAGGTAAATAGATCATGGATCTATCATGTGAACGTTGAACTTGCACTCCTGAGAAGTAGAAATAGAAGCCCGCACTCACCTCCTTGCATTTGCAGACTAAGAACAATAGGCTTGTGGTAAAGATGTGGGGGTCTCCTAGAGCCCCGCGGGTTCTTCGAGGGGCTGGAAAGACACCAGGCGGACCCTCTCCCCTCCCCTTTCTGTGTCGGTCTTCCAGGCGGCGCGGTCATTCATCTCCTCATCTCTGGCTGCTTTCTTAGCTCCCTCATCGACATCACTGCGCCCACGGGGGCTGCTTAGACACGGCAGCCTTGGCCTTCCCATTGGACGCCCGAGTGCACAATGCTGACGTTGAACAGCAGACGCCTTACAGCCTTCAAAGACCTTCACAGCATCGTTTCGCCTAAGCCTCCCAAGGCTCGGCAGCTTGCTGGCTATCCCTATTTTTAAAGGAAACAAAGCTAAGACTCCGCGCGAGGTACTTGTTTGTCCAGCGTTCACGTCGCTCACAAGCAGCAACACAGACCAGACCCAGGTTTTCTGGCTTCGGCTTATGTTCTCTTAGGAACCTGCCGAGTGAATCCACGTTCCATGGAAATTCCAGTCTCTGGAAAGTTGGATGGCCAACACACCAATGCGCTCCCATTTTCTGATATTCCTATTAGAGGACAGTGGGTCTGGGGTTTTTCTGTGAGCTTGAAGGCCTAGCAAGTGTGGTTCAGAAAATTGGAGGGGGCTTTGTGAGTGCTTTGAGGGTCTCTGCCTACCACTTGGCCTGGCCAGCCAGCCGTTCGGGGCCAGTTCTGGGAGTTCTGGGGTGGGTGACAAGTGGCCAAGGGCTGGGGAACATAGAAACCTGTTACTGAAGTCAAACCTGGATGGAAAAATCAAATAAGAAAGCCTTGAGTAAGAGCCTGACTGATGACTCTTTGGAAGAAAGGGAACAATGTCTGAACATTTTCCACTTGCCTTTTAGCTGGAAAAGTCCCTTTCTCGAGCCGAGGGCCCCGTGAATTGGACCAGCCCAATGCCCAGTGTCTGGTCATCGGTGGTGTCACTCGCTGATGAAGTCTTTCCTGCCCAGGAGCTGCACGGCTGCAGCTGCTGCGAGTTTGTCCAGCCAGTTCTGACTTGGGACCCCGTGTGTACAGAATGGAATTTCTCCAAGCAGATTACTAGACCCGTTTTCTGAGATGCCTCTGAGTGGGTGAGAACTGCCCACTTTGGGGTAAGCTGTCAAGTGTTTAATCATTTGCATCACCCACCCAGAATTCTGCTAAAACCCTCTCACTGCCATTGAGTCAAACTCATAGTGAACCTATAGGGCGGGCCAGAACTGCTCCATTGGGTTTCCGAACTAGATATCTTTACAGGAGCAGAAAACCTGATCTTTCTCCCTTGAAACTACTGGTGGATTTGAACTGCTGACCTTGGGGTTAGAAGCCCAATACTAACCCATTCCACCATCAGAGACTCTGCTAGGAGTTGCGAGTCGAAACCAAATTGAGTCTGACGTGTAGGAACTGTGGGGGTACAAAACAGAATGGGGCTCCCGAAGAGCTGCTGGACTCTGATCTTCTTGAAAGCAGATTGCCAGAACTTTACTTTCCCGGCACTGCTCTGAAGCACCAACCATCCGGTTGGCCGTCCACTGCAAATTGTTGGTGGTTGCTTTGTTGCGGTGTGCCTGTCCATCAGTCCTGACTCATATTGAGCTCCTCTGGGACAGAGTAGGGTTCCCTAGGCCGCATTCTTTATGGGAAGAGAATGCCAACCCCTCTCTCTCATGAAGCCCCTGGTGGATTGGAACCTTCCACCTTTTGGTTGGCAGTTGAATTTTTAACCATCACCCCTCCAGAGCCCTTTGCATGAAGTGTGAATCCCCAGCCCGCTGCCATCGAGTTGATTCCGACTCACTGTAACCCAGAGTTGGTGCGGCTGTCACTGCCGAGCAGAGTGGAAAGACTTGTCTGTCTTTCTCAGAGTGACTGGTGGGTTAGAGCTGCTCCCCTGTGGTTAGCAGGCTCAAGTATGAACAGGTACGGATTATAGAGAGTGCTTCCAGACCCATGATGCAGTGCTGGAGGCTGACAGAAATGTTCGATTTAGTTGGAACTATGACAGTACCGTGAAGCTTCCTTCACCATACAGCCAACCATCTCTGAAGCCACCTTGCCCGCTCAAAGGCCTTGCTCTGCTCTCTGTACTAAACCACCCTCTTGGGTAAATGATCGAGCGTTTTTACGCCTCAGTGTCCTCATCTATAAGATAAGACCGATAATTGGGCCGTAACTCAGTGTGGCGGTGAAGATTACATGAGGTAGTGCACGAAGAGGACTGGCAGAGTAGAGGGTCTAAATACGAGTTACGTAACAGAATGACGAGAGGTCACTGAGGTAAAATCTCCAGAGGGACTTGGCTTAGAAAAGAGGGGTCATAATGATGCGGGGAAGGGAATGGTGGTTTGGGGTTGGGTTCACCTATTAAACTAAACTCACTGCCACCGTGTCAATCCGGACTCCCAGAGACCCCTCTAGGAAAGAGGAGAACTGCCCTCGGGACTTCCCAAGGCTAGCAGTCTCCATTGGAGCAGAGAGCCTCACCTTTCTTCCCTGAAGGAGCCGGTGGGCTTGAACTTCTGATCTTGCAGCTAGCAGCCCAATGTGAAACCTACCATGCCACCAGGATCCTTGGTGCCTACTGGTGCCACCAGAATAAGATGCTATTGAAAGACTGGCCGGTGGAAGAGACTGCTCCCAGGGAGGGGACAGTGGGAGCAAAGGTGTGAGAAAGTAGAAGTGAATCATCTTAAGGGAACAGCAAGTGCTTCTGGGAGAGACTAGCACGTAGAGTGCACATGGGTGGGTATCAATAATTGTATCATGCTCATCACTAGCCCACGTTTAGCACCTTGTGAAGAGCCTTCCAATGACCATGTAGCCCCAGCAACCACGAAGCCCTGAGAATCATTTTCCTTTCTGAACGCAGCCCCACCTGGAGGAGAACCAGTTCAGGGAGAATCTAAGCAGAGAAGACAGTGAAGGGTCAAGTGAAGAGAGGGTCTAACAAGTGTGGGAGAGTAACAAAGGAATCATTCTCAAAGGCCACATGTAAGCAACAGTTTTTCAGAACAACAGAAGAGGAAACCCTGAAGTAGTGGCTCTCAACCTGTGGGTCATGACCCCTTTGGGGGCTGAAGGACCCTTTCATAGGGGTCGCCTGATTCATAACAGGAGCAAAATGACAGTGATGAAGCAGCAACAAAAATAATGTTATGGTTGGGGTCCCCACCCCACGAGGACCTGTATGAGAGGGTCGCGGCACGAGGAAGGCTGAGAACCACTGCCGGAAGGCACGGGTCTTGACCAAGACCTCCTTGCCCGTTCTCTCCTTTGAAGAAGCCAGGAGAACCTGTTCCGACGAAAGACGCCCCACAAACCAAACACAACCCCTTGTCACTGGGGCTAGCTCCACTCAACGTGGCTCTGGAGGTCGAAGTAAACGCCCCACCGGTTTGCAAGCCAATACGTCTTTTTAAAACAAATATATATTTTATTGTGCTTTGTAAGTTTGCATAGCAAATTAGGATACCAGAAACAATTTCTCTAAATATTGGATACAGTTTTCACATTATACCAACATTTTAGTGGTTTTCTTGATATAGCATTCACAAATCATATACCTCCATAGTTAAATCGCTTTTAAAATGAGTTGTCTATGAGGCAAACTGACCAAAGTAACTCCATTTTGTTGACTGCTAAATGACCTGCCTGCTTCCCCCTCCCTTCTCACAGAGCCCCACTGGTGAGTGATTTCAGAATGCACTTATATGGACCTGGAATTAGAAAGTTGTAATTAATCTTGTTATTCTTTAATATTGTTCCTTTTGATGCTTCAATTAATCCATTAATTTTATTTTCTGCTTCTGTCATACACTTGCTTAAGTCCCTAACAAATGAGCCAAATAGTTGTATGGTTTCTTTAATTTATAGTTCACTGGTAATTTCACTTGGGGTTGCAGGAGAGGGAAGCACTTTGTAGCTTCCTCGCAGCTCAACTAGAGCTGAATAAACCCTTTTAATTTCTCAGGGCATTACAGTGACTGTCGTTTATTTGAACCCACAGCATATACACATAATGACAGTCACTTCTACTGCTCCTTCCTCCCTCCCGGATCCCTTGTTTGCTCCTCAACCCCCTTCACCCTTTCTACATCCCCCACCCCCCCACATCCCCACTAAACCATTGCATGAGTATTATCGCTATGCATCTAAGCCTGCTGTGCTTCACAAATGGGAAAAACTGGCAGTAACAATAAAAAAAAACAGATAAAATGCCAAGAATAAAATAAAATGAATAATAATATAAAAATAAAGAATAAGAAAGAAAAGATCACCATCAATATTTTAAAAGCCAGATAGAAATTTTTGTTGTGGAACCAGCAAAAAACGCTAGTGCCTAGATCAAATTCAGGTTGGGTCAAGATGGAGATCAGATGACACCACGTTCCATGCAGCATCATCAAGTTTACAGTCATCTCTGTCTGAGAGTGAAGCTGTTTGAGGCCCTTGCCTGTGGCTAGAAGGTATCCGCCAGAGGCTTGATCTAACTGGATACTCTGCAGATGGACTTTGGGCTCCCACGGTCCCCCACAGCCTTCTACAAATTGGGTGTTCACAATTTAAACTCTGATACTTTGCTCTTCATCATATTTGGATTTTATTATTGTCATCTTTGGATCACACAGGCTGGTGTTCTTTTTCCATGGGGACTTAATTGATGCCTCACTTGGATGGCTGCTTGATTGAATGCAAGCCTTTAAGACCCCAGACACCATTCCAGTGGATAGCCAGGCACCACCTGCTTTCTGCACCACACTGCTATA